AGAAGAGAGAGAGACACACACAACATAAAAAAAATAAAAAATTGTTATCTAAGTTCTAACTTATCTTTTTTTTTTTTTTTTTTTCCCACCTGAAAACAGCTCCCCCGAAATTTCATTTTTTTTTTTTTAGTTGATTATGGTGGGGGACGCCATGCGCAGGTGATGCGCGCGCCCCGATTTCGGGCGCGCGGCTCCCCTGCGCGTGGCGAGTCCGCGTGCGGCCGAGGCCGCGGGAACTGCAGCCTAGGGGGTCACGTAGTTGTGCCCTCCTTTTTGCAGGAAAGAGACAATATGTGGCATCTGTGAGGAGAGTGTCTTGAGCATGCTTGTCGGATTCATTTGTTGGTATAGTCAAAGCATTATCAACTGTCTATCTAAATAGGCACTCGCGGGGGAAATTATTGCTACTGTGGGAGAGGTGACATTTGCCGTAGGTGAGGCCAGAAGTATTTGGGTTCATGCTTCCGGGTCTTCTGGATGCTTGCCCTTCCGCCGCTCTTTTCAGTACTACTCTACAGTGTGGAGAAGCTCTTTGGCACATTGCTGCCCCACGGCAATGGGATGGACCCTCTGTTGTTTTTCTTGCTCTCTCTTTCATGTTTGTAGGGGGTAGAAGAGCGGCCTGCGCTCCTCCCCGTCCTCCCCGTCCTCCCCGTCCTCCCCCCCCCCCCTCCACGCCTGGGAATAGAAAGCGGCCAGAGTGTGTTTGTGAGCAGAAAAAAAGTAAAGAAGAAAAGAAAGATGAGTGATTTGCCAGTGGAAAAGGAACCGGATTGATGTCCCCCAAATATCAATACGGAGCCAGAGCCCAAAGGATGAGGGCTTCACGTACTCAGCTGCCAGAGTATACTCAAATTGCCTGAATCACCTGCAGGTGTCATGTGGCAGTACATGAAGAGTGCTATGGCACGAAGGCCATGGACAAGAAAGGACCGTGGGTGTGTAGACTCTGCGAGACACCAGATATTGAGAGGGAGTGCTGCCTTTGCCCTGTGAGAGGTGTGTGCGTCCTGCCTCTATGCCTCGGTTTCTGCATTGTGTGCTGTGTTCACACTCCATGGTCATTGCTTTGCTGGCTCATTCAGACTTCTGAAAGTTAAAGTTGAACGTTGGCAGCATCAAAGAGGGGTGTGTTTTCATGGAGGAAAGGAGGGAGAGGCGGAGGGGGAGCCTGGGAAGGATGAAGGGAGGGGGAGGGGGAGCAGGGGCAGGATGAAGGGTGGCGGAAGGGGAGCAGTTGGAGGATGGGAGGATGAGGAGGGAGAACGTTCTGTTTTGTGATGGCTGTCCAATAGCCCTGTGATGTCTGTTGAACTTCTTTTCAGTTCGTTGATGCTCTCCATGAATGGACATGGAGCGAGGACCATCACGACCCCTTCTTTAAGACTAGCATTTCGTGTCCTGTGACTGTGTGAAGTTTGTGATCAACATGTCTGTTTTGTTTGGTTGTCTTTTGCTTCTCTCTATTTGAGGCTTTGAGGCTTTGAAGTTGTTTTGGACTTCTGATAGTAGTCACACTAGGACTTTCTCAACTTAGCGGGCATTGATGGTAGCCAGGTACGTGGAGGGAAGGACAAAAGCGAGTATCCCTCCCCCCCTTTCTTTTTTTTGTAAAGAGGGCAATGCCCTGAGATATCATCATTGAACTGACCGGCCGCTATTCATGTAGTTCTGTAGGACTTTGAACTCAGGTATGTCTTTTGACAGCTCATTGGTCTACGCATGATCTTCCAACTGTTGCTGCGGATGTCAAGGAGAGAGTCACTTGTTGAAAATAAAAGAGGGAGAAAACACAGGAAGGCAAGGTTTCGACACCGGGTGTGGTCGCCTTAATAGTATGGTCTTCCGGATGTCAAGTAGGCCAACCAGGGGCTAACCAGGGTCCTGAATGGCACACACATTTAATTGTCAGTAAACAGAGTAGAGCTGGAAATTTGGAATCCTTATGGAATCAGGTGAACTCAATGAAGATGGGGACTATCCCCTTTAGAAAACAAAAAGTAAAACAAGCTCTCAGCCTGGTGTCATTCAACGGATGAGTCTCAATCATGTCTGAAGTTGGATAATCAAGGTAGTGACCACCCGTTTTTCTTAGTGAAAATCCTTCATATCTGGTAATGAATGGCCAGTGGAACAATTGCAATATAATCATGTGAAGTGCACTGCTGTAAGGACCTGCCAAACACGGGCTGGGACACACAGCTGATTTCTGAGTTTTGCCAATGAAATGTATGCCTTGCTGAGTTTCCTGCTTGTGGCTGAGTTTTCTAAGTCTGTGTGTCCGCGTGCTTGCTGGTCTGCGTGCCTGTCTAAGTGCTTGTCGGCTTGAGTGCGTGCGTGACCCGCAAGGGTACTTGTTCGTTTGGGACATTGATTCTGGATCAGCCATTCAACATTGTCATTATTATTCTTGTTTGAATAAGAGGGGAGAAGATAAGGAGGAGGAGAGTGGTTGGCGAAGAAGAGCATTATCATTTGTCTATGCTGGTGTACATCATCTTCTTCTTCTTTCTTTCTTCTTCTTCTTCTTTCTTTCTTCTTCTTCTTCTTCTTCTTCTTCTTCTTCTTCTTCTTCTTCTTCTTACCCTCTCTCTCCTCTCAAGTTCATTCATTTCTTTTTGCAATTGGACGGCATTGTAGTTTCTGATGAATGTGTACTTTGAAATTGGCCAGGATCATAACATATATCTATATCGCTATATAAACAAGCAAAGAATATTCATATTCAAACTTGACGATATATCTATATCGCTATATAAACAAGCAAAGAATATTCATATTCAAACAATATATCAAAGAATAGAAGTTGCTCATTGTCCTCTCTCCACTGTAAATTACACTTTACTGAATTGAATGAATTGCTAGGTAATGATGGTTTTCGTTACATTTTGATGGAAGGGTTGAGTGTTAAAGTATTGATTATCTGTTTTTTTATTTATTTATTTTATTTTTTTATTTTTTTCAAATTACCTGTTTGCATGCCAGGAGGAGAGAATCTCTGACTAACGAACAAGGAAAACAGGAGGAAATCAGGGATTGAGGGGAGGGGAAAGGGTTTGTGGAGAGAGGAGATCGCTGAATAAGTCATGATTCTGAGCGCGCTTACTGCTTCGCACTTTGGATGGAGTCTAAGGTGTCTGAGGTCTCGAACTCGTTCCGTTCAGGATCAAGGTGCTCCTCCTTTTAATGAGGTTGAACCCTTGATTGTAAACGCTCGAAGTTTTATTTTTAGAATGAGAAGGGAAAGGACTCTTGAGGGTATCGTTGATGGTGTAGCCAGAGATCATGCCAGGAGTGTGTGTCCCTTTCGGTGATGGTTGAGCGGAAGGAAGCCTTTGATCTGGCCTTTTCTTCCAAAAAGGGGTAGCCTCTGAGGGCCCTAACTTGATTGTGTTCATCTAGGATCCCATCTGGGACATGTGTGTAGTAATGTGCACCATTCAGGCACATGGTCTGGGTTGCAGTCAATCTTACTGTTGCTTGATCTTTTGTGCAGGTGGGGCCATGAAGCCAACGTCAGTGGGGGGGCTGTGGGCCCACCTCCTGTGTGCATGGTGGACCCCCAATGTTTGCATAGAAGATACTCGAAAAATGGAACCGATTGAAGGATTGACTGATGTCAACATTGCGTACTTCAAGATGGTATGGCGTCGATCGTTCCATGGAACATGCTCTGAAGACTCTTCTGCCCTCCGCACCGCCTGTTCTGAAAGATGGTCTGGCTGGCTTGTATGCAGTTTTGTCTCTGGATCCTTCCCCGTCATGTGTGTGAAATGTTCTCCGGGTTGGTGATTTAGTGTCTGGTGCTAGATGAATATTATGAACTGGGGCAGGAGTATTAGCTGTCAACACGGCAAAGTAAGGGCCAGGCCCCACTGGTGCTATGTTACTAAGCACGAACTTGGTTGTAAAGCTGGCCAGGTTCTTGTGTTAGCTCACCACAAACATGGCACCAGTTGGCCCTGGCGCTGATCATCCAGACGATTGGCAACGTACAATGAAAATAGTTAAAGGATCAGTCTGGTTCAGATGTCATTGTGTGGTAGCTTAGCTGGTCTAAAATTGAACGTTATTGTTGAAATAGCCTTCGAACTGGCCTAGCTCAGTTGGTAGACCCCTGAACTTTGAACTACCGATGGGAGTTCAAACTACCCTGGAAAATGAGCAGAAGTTGGCATGTGCTGGGATGGAGAGGAACTGTGCCACATGTAGTGGTAAAAGGAGGGAAAAGTTGCGGAAGAAAAGGAAACAGTTGAGGAGAAGAAGAGAGAGATGCCTTCGAGAGAGGAGAGGGCAATGGTGGGTGAAGGACAACACAGTGATGGAGAAAGCTGGTAAGTGGGAGCTTGGTGAGATTGGCAGCTAGGAAGGCTCATAGAAGGACTGGTGCACAGTCAGTCAGCAGTATTTACAAGATGAAATTTTAGCTGGTGTTGTCGGATGGTCACCCATCTGGCATCTACTGAGTTATAACCCTCCTCCCATCATCTCCCTCTTCCATTCTTGACCTGTTCGGTTACTGATGTCCAGGATCTGGCAATAGGCTGGTCAATATTGAATCCAACACTATTGAACAAGATACTGACCATGCCAGTATTGCACTCGATCTAGGTGTATTGTCTGCTACCTTACTGTGGGTGAGTGATTGCAGTTAACAGCGCAGTGGGAGTCATTGCTGCGGAGGAAACTTGGGTCATCATTAGTAGACTGCTGTCATTCTGTGGAAGTTCCATGACTTGATGAATGTGTATGGTTTAGTAATATGATATTCTGAAGTGGATTTTTTGTTTGTTTGTTTTGTGCAACCAAAGAAATCCACTTCAATCCACTTCATACCTTGCCAATGGATATGTCTGCTGTCATTCTGTGAAAACTCGATGACCTGATGAATGCATGTTGTTTGGGAATATGAAATGCAGAGTATCTGACTTTCCCTTCATTTTCTTCTTTGGTTGCAGACATGCTCGATATGTAAGCAGCCACATGGCGCTTGCATTCAATGTGATTTGCGTGGCTGCTGCGTGTCATATCATCCCATGTGTGCACGGAGATGTGGCTACTTCATGGAAGTAAGTAGCACCCTCCTCTTTCTTGTCCCTTCATGTCTTCTCCCCCTCCTCTTATCCTTCCGTATCTCCTCACGATTTCCGCTCAGTGGGCACCTCAGAACCTTTAAAACAATGTCTTGATACCCATACCTGGAAACCGCCATCATTGACTGCCAAGCAACATTGCATGCATAAGGATAGACAGTATGCGGGCCACCCAGAACTTGGAAGAGTGGAGCAATTTCCTCATAGGAGTCATAGCCTTTTGCTTGGTGGAAAACGATTTCATTGTGAGAGAATTTTGTGCTTTTCAGGAAAGATATAAGTGCGTCACCTTATACTCCACAGTGGCTCTCGCTTCCATATTCTTAGCTGTTCCCCAGAACTTTCTTTTCTGCCCCTCCTTGGTTCTCATGTAAATATGTACAGTTCAGGAGTTGGCAAGCGGTGGCTTCGCAGGAGCTACACACACACAGACACCGATAGGTTGTCACTGTCTGTGCCTAGAGAGGAAATAATGACCACAGAAACCCAGGAAACTTGCTCAATGCCGCTCTGTGATGGCCCACCTGAGATTTCGCTAGCATGCGATTCACATGCCCTGTCGTGAGCATTTTGAAGGCATAGCCCTTGGAAGTTTTTGCTTTCACTCATGTATGGCACCCTGACATGTCATGTCCAATTTGTAGACGGGCTGGAACAGCAATGCCTTTTTTTTTCTTTTTTTTCTTTGGGACAAAATGCGCCAATATATTTGTGGGGACCAGCACGTGCTGGGAACCGGGCCCAGCATCCCATGTAAAAATACACAGTATTAAAGAACGGGGGCCATTACCTAGCTTCGGCTGAGAAAGATCTGAGAACAACTTGCACCAGGTACTGATGAAACAGCCTCGAAAAGGGGCTAATGGAAGAAAACAGACATCTATGCAGTACTAAATTCAAAGAACCCTTTTGTTTTTCGAACCTTGGTTCAAAGGAGAATTCAGACTGAAGAAACCACCTGCCTTGGTGCCTTTCAGCGGCCCAACCCTACCTGCCTCACCCCTATACCCCGATGCCCAATCTCTACCAAGCCTCATGCCCCCAACTGCTAGGTTACAGCGTGGCACAACCCACCCCAGAAACCCCCCACCTGCTAGGCCACAGGGCAACGCGCCCCGTCCCGGCTGTGGCCAGCGTCGACTAGGCACCAGCTCACTAAAAGACACTAGAGTGCCTTCCACCCTCGCCAACTCCCCAGATCTCTCTACCGGGTCTCATGCCCTCGTACAGCTCGAGTTACAGGGCAGCGCGACCAAGCCCCGGCACCGACCAGCGTCGCTCTGGCCTTGTCTATTCGCAAACCCCCGGGACACAGGACTACGGCAGATACCAGTCAAGCCACCAATCAGCACCATAGCTGTAGATCCGATTATCCATCCTTCAGGCAGTAGTTGCAGATATCCCACAAAAAACGTTCTCAGTCCTAGTCCGGCAAGTCTTACCGCAATGGAGCCACCATCTCCACCGCTGCTATACCCAATGCCTGTACAATTGCGGTCGCAGAGTCTGTGTGTTCCTATCATGTAGGAGCCACATAGCCTGTGACATATGTCTACACTGTGCCATTTGATGCAGCAACTGCAACTGCGAGAATTGGATGCGGTGCTCCCACAGTCCACACCCAAAGCAGTCCTGTTCGGTCTATAGCGGTGGCCACTTACCATAGGCAACCACTGCTCAACTCAAAATCTCCTGCAACCCATACACTGACTAACCCTTCATGTCATTCTAAATTAGTCTGCTCCAGTGGTAAATATTGAGAACAATATGAAGTTTGCCATTCCTCTGTTCTGTTCTTTGCCACTCTACTTCTCTTTTCCATCTCTCTCTCTCTCTCTCTCTCTCTCTCTCTCTCTCTCTCTCTCTCTCTCTCTCTCTCTCTCTCTCTCTCTCTCTCTCTCTCTCTCTCCCTCNCTCTCTCTCTCTCTCTCTCTCTCTCTCTCTCTCTCTCTCTCTCTCTCTCTCTCTCTCTCTCTCTCTCTCTCTCTCTCTCTCTCCCTCTCTCCTCTTCCCCGTTCTCTCTCTGTGCCTCTCTCCTCTCTCCCGCCACTTGCTACCTATACATCTCCACCTCTACCCCTTGTGTACTACTACGTCTTCCCCCGAACATAACGCACCCTGAAAATGAATGTATAGGGTGCGTTGTGTTCGGGGGAAGACGGTAGTAAATGCGGAATGGGCATCATTAAGATGCGAGGATTCAGCCCTCGCAAGGCCCTTCTCGGGCACATACCCCAAGCTAGCCTCGTTCCCACGCTAATTGAAGGCGGGCCTGCATATCCACGTGACGCATGCCCAATGGGACAATGCGTAGGGAGCCAAGAATCCACAGTGTGATGAAAAGGACTGAAATGGACAATGCAAGGTCAGCGTAGCATCAACAAGCAATGCACATTCCGATACATACAAGATGGCACAAAGTGGCGAAGTGGAAGTCTAAAAGAGAAGATCTGATCTGATCTGGACTGACCCGACATCCATCATACATCACACATGTGAGAGGGGGGGAGGGACCACAATCACAGAAGAAAGGTCCCTCCTTCACACACTTACATGGGGAGATACCACGGATGAGAGATGGGGGGAAGGGACGAGACGAAGGAGAGGAGGCGAGGGAGTAGACCAAGATCGCGATAGCGAAGTCCCAAAAATAGTCCCTGGCCGAGTGTCCAATCAATGTCTGTCCCAGAAATGTGGAATCAGATCCTGGGTAATGTGCCCAGCATACCCTCTGCCTGTATCACCTACTGATAACCTCTCTCACTCTCGTAGGTGAAGCAGAAGATAAGAAGGAGGAGGAAGGAGGAAGAAGAAGGAGGGAGAGAGAGAGAGAGATGGAGGAGGAAGAAGAAGAAGATGACGTCCTCCTTTCTGTCTCACCTGCAGGTAGCTGTCACCGTACCGACTGTGGTGGTCGTCGTGTGCAGGTACCGTGTGGAGCCCGGCTATGGCGCCAGGTAAGTTCGCCAATTGCAGGTAAGGACTCCGCCTCTCTCTACCTCCTACGCCTCTACTCCCTACTTTGTAGTGTAGCGCAGAATAACGCTGCCTCCAACCAGCAGCGTGTCGCTCCAGAAGTGAGCTACTCGAACTCTGTGTTTGCCCAGCCGCTGCCCAGCTATTTGTAGCGCTGGGCGGGTTGGGCGTACCTGATGCTGGGCTCAGAAAACGGCCCAGCTGGTCTGGGTCCCTACCGGGCGTCCAGACCATGCTGCTGATGCAGCAAGGCGCAGAAATGGGCCTGGCCTAAAAACGGCCCAGTTCTTGTGCACCTAGCCCAAGGCGTCGCCTTGGGACCTGCAGGACCGAAACGACGTCTGCACCTGCCGGGCTGGCGCCAAAATGCGCCTGGCCCCCTTTTTGGGCCTGCCTTCGGTGTACCCAGTCCCAAGGTCCGGCCTTGGGGCTGCAAGTCCGAAACGGCACCTGAACAGACAAAAATAAGACAGCACACACACAAAAAAAGGTAAGTAAAACTAAACCTATCTAACTAGTGTGCTACCTAGGGCCTGGAGGGCCGTCGTGGGCCTCCAGGGCGCGTGCTGTATGGTACGCGGCCTGGGGGCCCCTCAGCAACCTTCGGGTCCCTCAAACGCGGCCAGTGCACAGGCGCAGCATGTAACACCCTCCGCTCCTTGTGAAGTCAAGCCGGGTCGAGGGCGAAGCTGACGATCTGAAGGTGGAACCTTGACGTGGGTGTGGCGTGGAGCTGAAGATGCCGGCTTGCCTTGCAACTTGCGTTCATGGCGTGCGAGGACATCGGGAGCTGTTGCTTGAAGTTCCGCACGGGTCAACCATCGGTCAGCTCTATGGGTGCAATATGCAAAATGGACCAAGAATTCAGTCGGCCTGTTGCCGTAACCTCGCTGGGATATGATGCCGCCAACCTTTTGGAAAACGTCCATCGAGGGTGGGTCTTGCGATCGTTGCACGGGAAAGTCGTCAAGTTCCGCTGGCGTGTAGAGAGCCAACTTGGAACAGTGAAAGACCAGGTTGACGGGCATGTGGGCGGGCACCTGAATGATAAATGGTCCTTCGGGTGCGTCCCCAATGGGTGCCACGATCGGCCAGGGCCCCATTTATTTCGGAAGGAGCTTGCGAGAGATATCTTATCCGAGGCTTAATTCTGCAGCGGAAACCCATACGAGGTCGCGGACGCGGAACGAACAAGGAAGACGCTGGCGGTTGGCCTGTTGGCGTATACGTTGCTGCGTCTTTGACATCTGGTCGCGTGCCTTGACAAGAAGCTCTTGCATCCGACGACCATCTTCTCTTCATTCGTCGGATAGCCATGCTCGAACTCAAAGGGCGACATCCCGATAGCCGGATGGATGGACGAGTTGTATGCCAACTCGACATCCAGCAGCCGCTCAACCTAATCCTTTTGGTCGGGACGGATGAGAGTGGGAAGAAGGACCTATGCGGTCTGATGTGCCCTCTACGTTTGGCCATCGGTTTGGGGGTGGCGAGCCGAACTCGGCTTGAAGGATGAGCCCCGTCGTTTGATGAGCGCCAACCGAAAATCGGACATGAACCAAGTGTCGCGGTCGCAAACGATTTCCTTGGGGTAACCCTTCGTTCGAATCCAACCGGCGTAGAGAACCTCGGCCAACTCCGGTGCCTTGGCGTGATAGCGACAAGGACAGAAACATGGCAAACTTGGTGAGTCGGTCAACCACCGTGAGAATCCCATCCACACCCGTCTTGTGCTTGGGGAACGACCTGGTAATGTCCATGGCAATTGCTTCCCTTCGGCGCAAGGGGACTGGTAATGGTCGCAGTTCGCCGTACGGACGATGATTGCGGGATTTGCAACGTCGGCAAACCTCGCATGACTCGCAATAGCGCGTGACGTCGTCGAGAAGACCGGGCCACCAAAAGCGCTCGCGGAGTCGGCCAATCGTGCGATTGACTCCAAAGTGTCCGGTGGCGGGGCCGTCGTGGAACTCGCTAAGAAGCCGCGTGCGCAAGTGTGA